AAAGGGAGAGAGAGAGAGTGTGTGTGTGTGTGGGGGGGGGATGTTTTTGTTTTTTGGCAGTTCACGAGTATTTTTAGCGGCTAACAAACGAAAGGGGGGTGTGAATTTGCGTCATACATAGCTACCTTTCTAATTTCATCCACAACTGCATCTTGAGCGAGACGTATTTGTCTTTTGTCTGATCCTGTGAGCTTTTTCTCTCAACACTTGCACTTGTTTTCTCAGTGCGTGCCACTCTATGTGTTCCTCGTACGCCCGACAGACAAGCAGTACTTTTGCTTTCGTTACTGATGCATAGAGAGGAAGGTAGGCGGGGAAGTACAATGAAAGACAGAAGATAAGCAAAAAAGAAAGAAAAAAAAAAGAAAGGCCGGGTGCAGAAAGGCAGACAAAAAATGTGTTAGATGAAACGAATAAAAGAAAATAGAATGAGCGAAAAAAAACCCAACAAAACAAGTCTTGAGCTAAGCTACAGAAAAAACGAAGTAGCAAAACCCAAAACAGGTGGAAAACTACTAAGACAGATAGACAGAAGGGGAAAAAACGCAAAAGGTAGAGCAAATTCATAGAGGAAAGAAAAAAAAACTCAGAACAAAAACAAACAATAAACGAGGCAATTTTGCGCCAGAGAAAGAGCGACACCCAGGTGAGAGAGATCCAGAAGCTATGCGTGGAGGAGGTGAGCTCTTCCCCGGCTCCGAGTTTGCTCAACACACGACGGACCGAGACAGACAGGAACGTAGTACTAACTTACTTACTCAGGAGTTTTGATAACTCTTACCCTTAACTCGTTACTGAGATGGTTGGAGTTAAACTCTTTGCTCTCATAACACATGATTTGGGCAAGTTGTTGACTCGTTCCCTGCTAAGTGCTTTTACTACAAGGTGGTATAATGGCAAGACAAGCAATGATGTATCTGTACTTTTGTGCAGAAAGAGTTAAGAGCCCACGTCTCTGAATAGTTGAGCGTCAATGACGAGAAGCAGTGAAAAATTATGAAGATGAGATTATTTTCTCAACCATCCAAAAATCGTTCGGGGTTGAACCTGCGTCAAGATATTTTTCCTTCATTAAAGATTTCTTAAATTAAGCGTCTAAAAATTACAACTACACTGACAAGCGGCATCGATATCGATCTGACGTCAAAAACCCAGGTCGGTGACCCCCATCGCCTGTCCAGGAGCCGTGTATATCCTGGGTACACCTGGTATCTTCTAATGTCTGAGGAACACTACCAATTACGTCAGTCCTGGGAATCCCAAAAAACCTCAACCCCACCCACCTCCCACGATCCAACAATTTTGTCTTTGACCTGTGAACCTTTGACCTTTCGGGGGAGGGGAATCGCGCTGCTGGAATCTTGGAGCCCTTCGGGATTTCCCACACCAAAGGTTGGAGGTCAGCACTTCCTTCCGCAGCGGACGCGGAGTCGCGCCTCTGAGACCCACTAGATCTAGCTGTACCAAGATCTATGCCTGCGGACGGCCGGATATACCGCGCCGGTGGTTGGTGGGTGATCTGGTGGGGTTTGCTCCTTCTTTCCTATAAAAAAACAACCTACCGCCTTTATCTTTCCTCTTTCTTTTTCTTTTTCGTTTGTTATTATTCTCTTGTAACACCTTTATTCTTCGGCACTTATATGACCTAATTGTGCTACAAATACCGTAAAACGCTTGCTAAAACTAAACAAGGATATACTGCTGCCTTCTCTCGTCTAAATCAGTGAGTTTAGACAGGGGTCTCAAACTCAAAGAATTCGGGGCGGCGGGGAGGGGTTGGGGGTCACTGGAGGTAGGGTCTGCCTCAAATATTCTAACTGAAAAAGTTTCAAGAAAGAGCTTTTACACTATTCACAGCTATTCGAAGCGTGGCAAAGCCATTCGCATGCCGTGTGGTTTTTACGAACAATGAACTTTTGAAGAACATACTACGCAAACACTTGTTACTTGTTAGTTACCAAACAGAGTGATAAGTGGAGCCGACAAGAGTTCAAAACTATTCAACATTGAATGTTGCTGATTGACTTTCATAATAAACAAATTTGAAAAAAGAACATTCTCGTACGCTATTCGAATAGTGCGAATAGTGACTTCACTCTTCGAAGAGTCGAGGAAGCGTTGTTTCCTCGAAATCGCACAGCACTCCACTAGTAGTGTCCGGACGTGTGACGCAAACGAGGAATCCATTTCCACGACATAATAATTTCTGGAACGTATCAGTAGACTCTGCCGCAGAGTTCAGTAATTGACTGTTCGCCCTTGGGCTCTCAGGAGACGCACGTGACTGAAAAAATGTTCTCAAACCATCACCATATCGATTGCACAAG